TCCCATGCTTTGCCCTAGGACTAAATTATCTACTTCCTTTTTTTCTTGTTTTACTTTTTTTACTTTCATCTTTACTTATGTGTATGTATTGTGTGTGGCTGTACATGCATGCAGGTACCCACAGAGACCAGAAGGTGCTGGATCCCTTAGCTGCAGTTATAGGCAGTTGTGGGTCCCCTGATATGGCAACAAAATTCTAGTCCTCCTGCAAAGCAGCTAGTGCTCTTAGCCACTGAGCCATCCTTCTCCAGCTCACTTGGTTGTTATATTTTCAGTTGTGAGCCTAGCTGTCTTAGGGTTTCCACTGCTGTAAAGAGACACCATGACCAAGTCAACCCTTATAAAGGACAACATTTAATTGAGGCTGGCTTCCTGGTTCTGAGGTTCAGTCCATTATCATCATGGTGGGAAGCATGGTAGCAGCAGGTAGGCATGGTGCTAGAGGAGGTGAGTGTTATACATTTTGTTCCAAAGACAAATAGGAGAAGACTAACTATTCTGCACTGGGCAGAGCTTTAAAGTCCACCCCCACAGTGACACACTTCCTCCAACAAGGCCACATCTCCTAACAGTACCACTCCCTGGGGCAAGCGTATTCAAACCACCACATTCGACTCCCTGGTCTCCATAGGCTTGTTCAAATGCCTGAGTCTAGGGGGCCAGATCTAGCCATAGAATAATGCAAAATGTATTTAGTATAACTTCAAAAGTCCCCAGAGTCTATAACAACCTCAACAATGTAAAAAGTCCAAAATTCAAAGTCTCTACTGAGATTCATGCAATCTCTTAACTGTAATCCCCTATAAAATCAAAATGAAAAAGCAGATCAAATACTTCCATCATCAGGGAATATATTACCATTCCAAAATGCCAAAATGGGGAAATAATGGACCAAAATAAGATCAAAAACCAGCTGGGCAAACTCTAAACTCAGTATTTCCATGTCTGATGTCAAAACTCTCTGTAGATCTCCAACTCCTTTCATCTGTGTTGACTGCAACAAACTTTTTTCTCATTGGCTGGTTTCACTCGTTAGCAGCTTTCCTCAGCAGATGTCTCACAGCTCTGACATCTCTGACACCTTGGGGTCTTCAACTTTCCACGCTCTTGTTCCAATGTCTAGGATCCACACATGATCTTCTGGGCTCCTCCAAAGGGCTTGGGTCATATCTCCAGCTCTGCCCTCTGTAGCACTCTAGGCTCTGGTTGACTCCACTCCACTGCTGATGCTGTTCTTGGTGATCATCCCATGGTACTGGCATCTCCAACTCACTGGTTCTACTGCAACTAGGCTTCACCAATAGCCTCTCATAGGCCTTCTTTATGGTGCCAAGCCTCAACTTCTTTGCATGACCCCTTCAATCCTGAGCCATCAAACTGCAACTTTCACCAATGGCCTTCCATGGCCTCTCACAGTGCCAAGCCTCAGCTGCTCTCCATGACCCCTTCATGCCTTTAAAACCAGTACCACTAGATGATTCTTACATATTACCAAGCCCAGCTGAAGCAGGAGGTACAACCTTGGCTATCTCTGGAACACAGCTTCTTTGTGCTCTCAGAAAACACTTCCCAGAAGATTTCACCTGATGCTTCTCTTTTTTTGTTTGTTTGTTTTTGTTTTTGTTTTTTTGAGACAGGGTTTCTCTGTGTAGTCCTGGCTGTCCTGGAACTCACTCTGTAGACCAGGCTGGCCTCGAACTCAGAAATCCGCCTGCATCTGCCTCCCAAGCGCTGGGATTAAAGGCGTGCGCCACCACTGCCCAGCCATTGCTTCTCTTCTTAATCACTGCTAATTTCTTAGCTCCAGCTAACCAACATCAATTGTCCCAGTAGTCCCTTCTATTCTTGACTCTAAAGCCAGAACCATATGGCCGAAGCTGCCGAGTTCTGCTGCTTGCTGAGGCTGGAACATGGGCCCCTTGTTCTAGTATATTATTATCAGCTTTCTGTTTTCCAACTCCTTCACTGCCTAAGCTTGGATGTTCTGGAACTTTCTCTGTAGATTGATGTTAAACTCAGAGATTTGTATGCTCTGTCTCCTGACTGCTGGGATTAAAGGCCTGTACCACCACACCTGGATTTAAGCTTTCCTTTACCTGGCACTTACTCTGTACCAGGCTGGTCTTGAACTCAGAGATCTACTTGCCTCTGTCTACTGGGATTAAAAGGGTGTACCAGAATGCCTGGGCCTAAGTTTTCATGGCCACTGTTCCTCAAGATCCAGATCAAAAGTGTGTGCTATCATTTCTTGACTATAGTTCATTCCAGATTAAAAGTCCAAATGAGAACAATAACAAGTAACAATAACACCTAACATGTTCTAACTATTCCTTAGTCAACAGCAAATGCATAAACAATAAGCTGATCTGGGTGGGATCTTTCCCCAAGTCACCACTCCCCTAATCTGTTTATCTCCTGGACTCCATTGAACTTCCTGGAACCCGTTTACTCTACTTTGTATTTTTCCTTTTTTTTTCCCCTTGCTACACTTCATCAAAGCGCTCTTCATGAGTGTAGACCACAGCACAGAGTCTACACTGATTTGTTTTGAGACCTCCTTTTTCAATGCAATTAATCTGAGTCTCTTCATCTGAGCCTCAGGAAGACTATTGGGATAAGGGTAAAAGGCAGCCACATTTCTCACCAAAATATCACAAAAACAGTCTCTCAGCCACTTACTAAAATTCTTCTCTGAAACCTCTTGGGCCAGGTCTGCACAGTTCAAATCACTCTCAGTAACAGTCTTCCGTATTCCTATAGGATAGCCTGTTAAGCCCCATTTAAAGTATTCACTGCTGTCCAAATCCAAAGTCCCCAAATCCACATTCTTCCAAACAAAAGCATGGTTAGGCCTATCACAGCAGTACCCCAATCACTGGTACCAACTTCTGTCTTAGCTAGGGTTTCCATTGCTGTAAAGAGACACCATGACCAAGGCAACTCTTATAGTGGACAACATGTAATAGGGGCAGGCTTATTGGTTCTGAGGGTCAGTCCATAATCATCATGGTAGCAAGCATGGCAGCATGCAGGTAGGCATAGCACTGGAGGAGCTGAGAGTTCTACATCTTGCTCCAAATGCAAACTAGGAGAAGACCGACTCTTCCACACTGGGTGGAGGTTCAAAGCCCACCCCTACAGGGACACACTTCCTCTAACAAGGCCACACACCTCCTAACAGTACCACTCCCTATGGGCCACGGATATTCAAACTTCCACACTAGCCTTTAATGGCTAAGCCATTTCTCTCCAGCCCACTCTGTTCTGTTAAGGTACTATTTCATATACCCAAAGGCCACGTGGTCAGCAGTGGAAACGTCCCTGTCCCTCTGACTTGGCTCTTACCTGAGGCTGGCCCTCTAATGACTATCATTTTGTTAGTCCTTGCCTCTGTAAACATTTTGGCCAGGTTTGTGTTTCTAGGTTATGAGTATTCTACATAAAGTTAACATTCAAGTGCTGAGTCCAGGCAATTTCAACAAGAGAGACAAAGGCCACGGCCTGCCACTGGGCCTCAGAAACCTTTAGGAACAGATGAGATGGGGGACTGCAAGTGGCCAACAAGCAAGAAAATGAAAATAAGAACAGGAAGCTACAGGCAAAGTGGTTAAGACTAGTCGCTACTCACATGGCGCTCATTCTGACCAAGGACATTACTATCCTTAGGCTTTGTTAGTTTTGATCCTGTTTATTTGAGATAGAGTCTCACTATGTAGCCCAAGCAGGCCTTGAACTCTCAATCATCCTGCCTCGTCCTCTGGAGTGCCTTGATTTCAGGTGTTTGCAACCATGCAAGCCTCCGAGAGCTTCGTTACATGGCTATGGTAAAGCATCTTAAGAGCCTTTTCAGCAGGAGCTATACGGCACGCCCAAGCAAGTGTTGAGCCATGAACAGAGTCTGAATTTCTGTCCCTTCCTAGAGAACACAGACATTTAAATCCGTCTCCTCTGGATGTAGCCCTGTGCTCCTGGCTGCTCTCCCTGGAGGGGAGCCTGCTGCTCACTTCTCTAACCCCAGTGCTCTGCAGGCTTCTGGATGGCTTTTCTGTAAGAGACTCACTTTCCCTTCACTGCAGGATGCATCAGTGTCTGATTCCTAGCCTACTTGTGACAAAGGACCCACACAGCCGGTGATGATGCCCCAGAGCTGCACAGTGAAGCCACTACTGCACACTGAGCAAGTGCTCCTCTCATGGGCTGTGGACATAATTCAATGTGTGGAATACTGAAGAAATACTACTACCCCTGCCCCCCACACACACACCCCAATCGTGTACTCAGGGTCACAAAGACCCATCTGATTTATACGCCACCCAATCAGACAGAGGCTCCCATGTGTCCCTGTGGTGCTCCTTCACCTATAACATTTCTCAAATCCTACTGAGTCCGCTCCCATTGCTTCTAGTCAGGACCATTTTTGCCCTGCTCTGTCTGGCCTTCTAGCCTCTAGTCTGTCTTCCTCCAACTTATATTTAAGGCCACCAAATCTAAATAATGTTTGAATTTATCTAGATACATGGTTAAGCCTTTCATTGGCTCCTGATGCTTTTTCAGAATACACGAGAACTAACAGAACTCACTAGGTCCCTTCCTGTCAGTAGTCTTACCTGCTGCCTTCACTTATCCTTCACTGCAGTGCAGGAGGAGTCGGCGGCTGTTCTGTCTGCACCGAGATCTTTCACGCCTCTGTGGCTTTACTAAGATCCTTCCCTTTGCCTCCATCACCCTTGCAGATCTTCTTCCCCGGGCCATCTTTCCCTCTTGCAGCAAACTTAGCCAGGCGTCACTGACCAGAAAAAGCCTTTCCTAACCTCTCACCTGCTTCCCAGACACCACCCCAACACCTGTCTGTTTCCTAGCCCCAAAGTGATGTCTTGGGCCATATATCCATGATGTCACCACTGCCTGGCACTGCACCAGGCATGTACCCAATGAGTAAAAGCGTGGACTCTAAGCTCTGAGAAGAGTAAAGGGACAGACACTGGAAGGTTAGTCCAAACCTCGGTCTCGTCAGAGTCATTGTTCCCCAGCAGCTCCTCATCCTCTTGTCTCCCCAAGCTCCCGGGGGGTCTGGGTTGGTGTTTGAAAGATACACTGGGGTCCTCGATGTTTATCGTGGTAGCATCTGGGTTTGCTGCTAACAGTGTGGCTCCATCACCAAATTCTGAAATGAAGCAAAGCACAAAGGCCTGGAAACCCTCCTGCACTGGTAGCTTTTCACCGAGAGCTCTGGTGCTGGAGATGTAGCTTTGTGGGAAAGCACATGCCCAGTCCAGGCTGCTGATTACCTCAGCTCCGCCATGAACCTTATCTGTGACAAGAAGCAAGAGGCTTTGGAAACAATCTCAGCACCAGGGAGGCCGAAGCAGGAGGATTTGACTCCTGATCCACCTGGGCACATGGCACAGCGAAGAGGGGAACCAGGAGGGGAACCAGGAGGATTATCTAAACAGTCTTTAGTAGGGTACTCAATGTATCAAACATCTCTGATTCAGCCAAGTCCTTATTGCCATAGACGCCATGAGGACCAAAAAGAAAAGTGGAAATAACAGAATAAAACTCACTGAGCTCCATCACAGGAAGGCAAGTGTGGGGAGTGTCCTGTGTGCTTCCTTTCTTTGCACAGTGAAATTCATGCCAGTGATGATCACTCCCTCATAAAACAAACACTTTCCTCCGCTGAGAGGGTACCAGGTCCTGTTCTTGGGTGTGCGCATATCTAACAAACAATTCGAGAACCTGCTTTGTCTACTGGCGACTGTATAGAAACAATGACTTTTGTACTGTAATAGTTTTTAAAGTACACAAGAGATGACAGTGTAGACAAAGCTCTTAGGGACTATGGAGAAGAACACGCTATGACATATACATATGAAGATGCCATGGAGAACCAATTACTTTCCATGCTAACCTAAAAAATAAGTAAACAAACGAGCAGAGGAAGAGAATAAAAGGAAGAAAAATAAAGAGTATGGGAGCTCCAGTCTTAAGATGGTCACTAATCAGTGGGACCACTAAGTCAGCTTTGTGTGTATGTGTGTGTGTGCATGTGTGTATGTGCATGTGTGTGTGCATGCGATGTGTGTGTGCATGTGTGTGCATGCGTGAGCATGAGCATGTATGTGTGTGTGCATGTGTGTGTGCATGAATATGCATGTATATGTGTATGATGTGTAACCATCTGCACATGTATGCTTGAATATATATGACTAACATCAGGCATCTTCTTCCATCACTCCCCACTTTATTTACTGAGGCAGGCACTCTTACTATAAGCCCAGAGTTTGTCAATTGGGCAGTCCAGTTAGCTGGGAATTCTGTCTCTGCCTCCCCTGTGCTGGGATTACAGGCAGCCTGCCCACCTACCTGCTCATGTGTTTCACACAGTTTTCACATTAGCAAGTCCTTTATCCTCCGAGTCATGTCCCCAGCCCTAAGTCAGCATTTTAAGGTTCTTGGGCTATACTGTTAAATTCCATCCAGAAAACTTTCCTCATTAACTTCCACCAACAGTGATGGAGACTATCTCTGAGCATCCCAACACTTTGATTAGCTATGTTGAAGAAAACTCAAGACAACACTGAAACTTTTCTTCTTTATTTTCCTTTGAGACAGGATCTCACTAAATAACCCAGGCTGGCCTTGAACCAGAGATCCTCATGCATCTGCCTCTTGAGTGCTGAGGTTACAGGTAGGCACTGCCACACCTAGCTTACCTCTGAAGACCCGAGAGAGCACCAGTAGTCATGGCTATAACACACACTGTAACTCACAGGTTCCAGCAGTGGAGTGGGGCTTAGCTCAGCTCTCTCTTAGTGCCCTACAGGTCCATGAATACTTTATGTAGAAAATCAAAGCTACAAGGTTGAAGAGATAGACTACTGTGTAACAACTATTCGAGCCTGGTGGCCAGCCTTTGGGGTTTAAGACCATGAGATGACCTTCTGTTTCAGTTAAGACTCCAATCATATGCCAGACCTGGTGGCACACACCTTTAGTCCCAGCACTTAGGAGGCAGAGGCAGGTAGATCTCTGAGTTTGAGGCTACAGTTGTGTACAGATTGAGTTCCAGGACAGCCAGGGTTACACGGAGAAACCCTGTCTTGAAAAACCAAAAATAAATAAATGTAATAATAATGATAATGATAACAACAACAAAAAACAAACATGCATGACCCTGGTCATTAGGGAAATTATTCCATGTCTTTGAGTCTGATTCTTCACCTAAAACGCTGCACACAATATCTACCCTACAGAGACCTTGGGAGATGATACAAGTTCTGACTACTGTATAGTGCCAGACAGGGTACTGACAACTGTGGTCACAATGCTGTCAAAGGGAGCCACATGAAGGGAGACACACGTAAGTCATACATATTTCAAAAGCACCTTTGCTATCAAAAAAGCACACCTAGCCGGGCAGTGGTGGCACACGCCTTTAATCCCAGCACTTGGGAGGCAGAGGCAGGCGGATTTCTGAGTTCAAGGCCAGCTTGGTCTACAGAGTGAGTTCCAGGACAGCCAGGGCTATACAGAGAAACCCTGTCTCAAAAAACAGAAAACAAAAAACAAAAAACAAAAAACAAAACAAAAAAAAACAAAAAAAAAACAAAAAACAAAGCACACCAGAAAGAGGAGGAACAGAGCGCCACTGTGCAAGCACGAGGTCAGAGGGGCCCTAGGGAAGATACAGCTCACTGAGTTGATGGAGTCAGAGACGCCTTCTGAAAAAAACGCCCAATAAGAATGACCATAGGTGCTACACAAAGGGTTGCGAAGGACCCAGGGGCAGAGAAGGAAGTATGTGCACCCTGGCAGACACGGACAGCACCATCTGGAGTGTATCTCTTCCAACAGTAACGTTCTCTGCCTCTGCATCCTGGCCTATCTGAAGCTGTCTTTTACGCCCATCTTTTCCTAGCACAGTGACTTCTGACAGAAGGCACCTGAACTCTACCTTCTTGTCTACCATCTTCCTCAGGACAGCCTTCTAGGCCACCCAAGGGACCACATGCTCCTCTCTGAAGCCAAAGTCCTTAACACGGTTTTATAACCTCACGTTCATCATTGCCCACCTCCTCTCAAGTCACCTTGGGCCAACAACCTCTGCTGCCCAGTCTATGATCTGGAACACAGACCAACTTTTAGTCCTTTTCCTCTTTAAAGAGGAAAAGAATTAAGCAATCTTCCTCCCGCCACCCAAGGGGCTTTGCAAATGCTGTTCAGAATACGTGCACCTCCTTGCACTGTGCTTTTAGATAGCATGGTCAAGGAAGGGCTCATCCTTGAAGCAAGATCTGAAGAAAGACAGCCTGGAATTGGAAAACAGGGCAAAAGCCTTAAGCTGGGTCTGTTAGGTCACCAGCCTGGTGGGGTGGGCAAGAGTGGGAAAGGCCATGAGCTATGAAAGGACAGGACAGCAGAGGCAGTGGGACCCGGTTTTCCAACCTTTCAGTCCCAGTGAGATGGGACGCAAGGTGCCAGTGAAGGCAGGGTTTTAATTTAGGTGACAGTGGTGAAGGTGACCTTGAACCTTATGGGAAGGTGAGAGGAGGTGAGGAACAGGCAGGTGTTTAATTTATTATTGTTTATGTGTATGTGTGGGGGTGGAGGAGTATATGGAGACCAGAAGGGGCATCAGCTCCCCAGAACTGGATTTACAGGCAGCTGGGGCCACCTGATGTGGATGGGTACTGGGAACCTGCACTGGAGAGCTTTCCCAGGGCAAGTGCTCTTATGAGTGATCTGAAATGAGATGGAGAATTATGGTGTGACAATATTTGCCAAGAAGTTATTTCTATTTTAACATCAGACAGTGGAGAGTCTGTGATGTCACCCTGCCTGGGTTCCAGTCATGGCTGTCTGGTTTATTAACTGTGTGACTCTTAAGCAGATAGTTTGATTTTTTTTTCTTTCTGTGACTTGGTTTCCTTACTGAAAAGACAAGCAGAATGATTACTTTATAAAGCCTGATCTGAGAAGGATTACATGAGTTGTACCCTGTGAAGGGTTTACAACGGTGTCTGCACAACAAGTGCTGAGAAAACACTGGGCAACTGCTAATTCCTAGTTTATGGTGCCTGCTGCCCATCAGAAGAGTTCTGTGAGAAAACTAAGCAAACAAGAAAAACCTGGGTGTGCCCAACAGCCTCTTACCAAGATGTTTGAAATAAAGCCCTTTAAAATATGTGTCTGTAATAAAATCCACTGCTGTGGCAGAGGAAGCTGCAACCACAAGACCAAGGTGGGGACCCTCCTGCCGTACCTTCAAACCGTAAGTCATCCACAGCTGCCATTCAGCCAGTGGCTCTTCTCCCAAGGGTGAGGAAGAAAATGTTCAGGGATCTAAAACAGAGAAATAAGTAAGCTTAGGAAAAACGGAACAATCTGCAGAAAGAATTCACAGTAAAAGAATTCTTAGAGCCATCTGTGGTGGTAGTGCACGCCTTTAACCCCAACACTGAGGAGGCAGAGGCAGGCAGATCTCTGTGAGTTTAAGGGTAGCCTGCTCTACATAGTGAGACCCTGTCTCAGAAATTAAAAATGACTATTACATTTCTTTATCTTTTGTGGCTACGGGAGTCAGTTCTTTCCTTCCACCATGAGGGATCCAGAATGGGACTCAGACCATGCTTGGGGACAGCCACCTTTACCTGCTGAGCAATTTCCCCCGCACACATACTTGGCTACTCTTTCAGCAGGGATTGAACTGGACACAGGGGTGAGAACGGAACACAGGACAGCCTAGAAGTATTCAGGACTCCGTGAGTGAATGTCCACCCAACCTGTGATCGGGACATCTATCTGTGAGCAGAATCCACCCAATACAGGGAAGAACCATCCAGAGCAACACTGGATAGCCTATAAAGGGTCAGAAAGCTGGTACTGTAGCTCATTTGATGCCTGCCTAGCATGCACAAAGTCCTGGGTTCAATACTCAGGATCTGCAAAATTTGGTACATGCCTGCAATCCCAGCACCTCGGAGATGGAGGCAGGAGTCTGAGGAAATTTAAGGTTATCCTGAGCCACCTGGTGAGCTCGAGACCATGAGTTAAAAGAGTGCCCCGTATCAACAAAAAGAGACTGGCTGCAGGGGACAATCGCTACTGTGTGAATGTTCAGGGGTCAGGTGCAGCCCGGAGATGGAAGAAAATGGAAGGGAGCCTAGGATTTGGGAGAGGTGAAGGGGAAAGCATTCCAGTGCGGCGGGTTTCAAGTCCTAGACCCTGGGGTCAGACAGACCTGGGTTTGAGTCCCGAATCTGTTGCTTCTCTGCTGTGTGTGCGCTCCTTGAGGCCTCCTCATCTGTAAAATGGGTTTATGATGGTGTCTAGACCATGCTATAAGGTAGTGCGTGTAAGGCGCTTAGCGAAGAACCAGGCAATTAGTAGCACTTGACTGTTAGCGACCCTGCAGTCAGGGACCCGGGGAAGCACAGACAGGGTTCAGTTGGAGGAAAGCCTGAGCAGCAGAGGCCGGAGCAAGTAGGAGATTCCCCAACTTGCCCAGAAGCCCTGACACCCTCACCTCGTAGGGAGAGGGTCCAACTGTCCAGGAAAGGTTTGGGCCTGGGATGCTCTGCACTGGTAACCAGTCAGCCCGGTCCCGGAAGCCGGAGATCCGGGGGAAGGCATTGGATTTCTCCGCCTCCTCCGGGCAGAGCACCGCCCCCTCTCTTAAAGCAAACGTGGTCAACCAGAGAAGACTTGGACGACACCAAAGACGCCGGAGCACCCGGGAGTTCTGAGCCGCGTCCCGCCCCTCTCAGTGGTCTTAAAGAGACAGGCGAAGTAGGACGAATTCTCAGGAGTTCCGGAGTGTTTTATTCATTGTTTTTACGTTTTTCTTATGCAAGTAGAAAAATGAAAAATAATTGAGAAAATGATCACCAATTCCGGTGTCTCTGGTCATGAAAACCAGCGAGGAAGGCTCCTTAGCAGTGGCTCATGAATAAAAGGAGTCCTCCTGTCACTGTTTACTGGAGACTGGCCCTGAAGCTGTACCACCTACCTGTCTGACAGTCACATCGAAAACAGCAGGACTCAGCAACATTGGAGTAGTCTGGGGAACAACCTTGTGGCCTGCTTCCTGGAGTTCCTCCAGGCTTGGGAAACTGCCTCCTCCTATCCACAGAAGACTCTCCTGTTGCTCTATTAATCCCCTGGGCTTCCCCCTGCTTTGGCAATGCTTGCCTGAATTCTGTTTGCTTATCTTTGCCAGCCTGTGAACATTTTGAGAACAAAAAGACCTGAAATGATTCTACTCTCCAGCTGGCCAGTACCAGCCAAGGCAGTAGCATACAATTACTGTTCACAGTATTCTAACACGGACTGAAAGGGTCAGTTCTTGCTGTCTGGGAGCAGTGTAAACAGCAGGCACTTGATTCATAGCTCATACAAGGAGACCAGTGTCTTTAGCCTCACACACAGGGTACTTCCCATTTGACTTCTAACATACTCTGAATATTAATCATGATTTATAATGTCTTTCTTTTCTTATTTTAACAATTTATTTATTTTATGTATGTGAGAGTACACTGTGACTCTCTTCAGACAGATCAGAAGAAGGCATCAGATCCCATTATAGATAGTTGTGAGCCATCATGTGGCTGCTGGGAATCGAACTGATGACCTCTGGAAAAGCAGTCAGTGCTCTTAACCACTGAGCCATCTGTCCAGCCAGATAATGTTTTTCTAACTAGCAAGCAATCAGGTGTAATAACACACATTAGTCATTGTTACTCATATGAAGGGGCTTTGTCTATGCAGGACCACCGACTCTCAGAACAATGCTGCAAACCTAAAGGAGTCACCTTGTTATATAAAGGGAAAACTGGGCTTAGGGTGTGTGCCAAGCACTTTTGGTGAATGTTGGGAATGAACATCAGCTTATGAATTCAGTCATGCAAACACGGGACACCTCCTCTGTCTCACACTCGCCTGCTGCTAACCTCACCCCCGCTGATCTTACTCCAGCTACAGCAGGCAGACCCTGAGCAAAGGTCATCCCAAACCCACGCTACGTGCTCCTCATCTTCTGCACCCAGCCTTGTTTCTTCATCATAGATCATGGGACTCTACTAAAACCACGTAGGACCCAGGCTGGTGCACCCCAGACATGCAGAGGAGAAAGCACTTAATGCCTTGTGGGCAAAACTGTTGACCAATAGAGTCAACAGTTGGTGAGCCCATGCATCTCCCCTCACTCAAATGCCTACAAGTGCTTTCTACTGCTTTCAAACACACTGAAGGACTGAGGAACCAAATTCCCTTGATGGTGCATACCCGAGATGGCTAACCTCTCTTCCCTGTCTTACACTATCCCCTCCTCACCTAGTCCTTGGACTCACACTGCGTTACCCACATGAGCGCGCACACTAAGGCGTGTGGGCACCAAGCAAAGCCACAGTCGGGTGTGTATTGGAGGCTGGTAAATGCGTGTGGGTACAAGTGTTCACAACTAGGTCAAACTTTACTAGCCGCTTGTATAGCACCTTCTGACTCTGTTCCGGTTTGTTTTCTATTTCTGTGATAAATACAGCGACCAAAGCAACTTGGGAGGGAAAGAGTTGACTTGGCTTACATGTTCCAATCATAGTCCATTACTGAGGGAAGTCAGGGCAGAACTGTGGAGGAATGCTGTTTACTGTCTTGTTTCCCATGGTTTGCCAAGCTTGCCTTGTCATACCACCCAGTACCACCTGGCCAGGGGAGGAACAACCCATAGTGGGCTGGGCCCCACCACCATCAATCAAGAAAATGCCCCACCGACTCGCCTACGGGCAATCTGAGAGGGGTAAAGGCCCACTTAAGGGTCTCTCTTCCTAAATGACTATAGCTTGTGTCAAGTTGACAAAAATACCAACCAGCACAGGTGCCATGAACACTAGTCAGTAGGGAAGAAACTCTGAGGTCAGTACTAGCTTCAATTCTCCATGTCCTATGTGTGGTGGCTTCAGCAGAGGGTCTTATCATCTGTCTCTGGTCAGTAACCATGAGCAAAGACAGTGGCTTGTTTTGTCCTAGGAGGGTCTGTGGGGACCCCACCTTGAATAATTGGAAGGTCAATATCCCACAGCTGGCACTGGGCCAGAACTGGACATCGGGCATCTTCTGTCATTTCCCACCTTGTTCTGTTAAGAATGGGTTTCTCGCTGAAATAGAAACTCAGTATTTTGGCTAGATTGGCTAGAAAGCTCCTGGGCAGCTTACTCCACCCCACCCCCAATGCTGGGGTTACAGGACACATAACCGTATCCAACCCTTTATGTATGATCTGGAGATTCACATTCGGGTCCCCATGCTTGCCGAGCAAGTGCTATGATCCACCCAGCCATCTCCTCAGTCCCAGTACAGGCATTTGGAACCAGCCCACCCACAAGTCAGAAAGCAGCAACAGCCCATGGCTGGTGATAAAGGTGGGTGGGGCATTGGGGGAGGGACAGGCTGCAGCATCACATTCCTCAAGAGTCTAAGTATGGCTGACAGAGAAGAGATGCCCATCAAAGATAAAGCGCTGAGGCCCTGGAAGAGTAAGAAGTCGATGCTGACAATGATTAAGATACAGACTGGCTTTGTTGCTCTTGCTGCTTGAGACAGGGTCTCACTCTATAGACCAGGCTGGCCTTGAGTTCATAAAGATCCCCCTGCGTCTTCCCCCACAAGTGCTGGGATTAAAGTGTATGATACTATGCTTAGCCTGCAGACTAACTTTTCTTAACTTCATGGGAAGCCCTGAGAAAACAGGTCAGAGCAGCCTGCGGTCATCTTAGGGCACATGTGGACACTGCACAGTCTCTTTAGAAGCTTTGAAGGAGACTTGTTCTGGTTTGTTCTTTTTTTTTCTTTTTCAAAGAAAAGCTGCCTGCAAATCAGTTTGCTGTCAGGAGGCCAAGCGTCTAAGAGTCCTCACGCAGTCTCTTAGGCTCCTCCAGCACAGGTCCCAGCACAGACAGGAGAAGTGGAAACCTGAGAATTGGATGTAGACATTTGGGTAAAAAGCCATACATACACAACTCACTGTCCCCCACTCCCATACTCCCTTGGATCACCAGTAGAGGCAGAAGCAAATTTTTTTTCCTGCTGCCCAAGAAAGAAATCTCCCGTTGCTTACAGATGCTATAACAGTGCTAGGTAACTTTTTGTAGCAACAAATACCCAAGAAAAACAATTTAAGAGGGACAAAGTTTGTGTAAGCTCATGGTTACAAGACTTCAGTGTTGTCTGATATTTAATCACATTGTGAACCCCAAGATTGTGAACTGCAAAAAACCTCTTCTTGTTGTGGTGTGGCTCAGCCCTAGCACACACCTTTAACCCAAGAGCTTTCTGTAAGCAGGATTAAATAAAGTCAACCAGAGGTCAAGAGGCAGGGCAAGCAACCAGTTGCCAGGCAGTGAACATAGGAAAATGCAGGAAAGAGAAGGGAGAGTCTGAGCTCAAGGGTATTTAAGACATCGTGGAGAAGGGCCTTTTCCTTCTGAGATGTCAGTGAAGTAGGAAGGTCAGCAGGGTGCTTTCTCTGCCTCTCTGAGCTAACAGGTTTGTACCCCAGCATCTGGCTCCTGAGTCTTCATTGGTAAAATTAAACAGCTGGGATTTTTGTTTTTAAAACAACAGTTCAGTCTAAGGTGATCTGGATCCATTCCTTTGAGTCTAAGACAAGGCGAAACATCATGGTGGCAGGAGCAGGTGGCCGCTCACCTCATGGCATTCCGGAAATAGAGGGGGGCAGACAGGAGGAAGCAAGATGCTCTTGAGAGGTGTGCCTCCAGTGATCTGCCTCCTCCAAAGTCTCTCCTATCTCCCAATAATGCCACTGGGTCATGATCCATCCTTGGACGAATCTGCTGATGAAACCAGCGTCCTCATGATCCAGTCCTGTGCATAAAGCTCCATGAGCTAGAACCTAACTTTTATAGAACCCCGTGAACTAGAACCTAACCTTCAACCCGTGAGCCTCCAGGGGACTTCAGATTCAAAGCCTGACAAACAGTAATTTATTCATCATTGTTTCAGACTAAGGGACCAAGACAATTGGAAAGAACTAACAGCAGGGATATCTGACCTGGGATCTACTCGGAACTCAGTCACAGAAGGAGCCAGCCTAGCAGAATTGTGTAATGACTTGTTGAAGGCACAGCTAAGGCACATTTGAAGAAATCAATGTGATGACAATCCTGACTTCCAACATGAAGTGCACAGCATCAAACCAATGGCTTACCCATTACAATGGGCATTGTAAATATGTGTCCATGGCTCTGTAAGCCACAGGGTGGTGCATTTTATCATTTTCAGCAAAGCAGCCCATGAACGGGATTTATGTCCTTCCCCAGGTTGAAGTTCTTCTCTGTAGGAAATCCTGGTTCCCAGGGAGAGGTCAAGGGAGAAAGGAATCAATTTTGCTCACTAACTAGTTCCATTAAATTAGAAGCTGTAACTATCTCTTGACATTTTTGGTTCCTCCCTCCAGTGCTCCAGTGCACTAGAAGAA